GTGAGCGTGTGTGTGAGCGTGTGTATGTGTCTGCGTGTGTGAGCGTGTGTGTGTCTGCGTGTGCGAATGTGTGAGTGCGTGTGGAGGTCTCGTTGTGGAAGCATGTTTATGTCTTGTTTGGCGTGTTCAGTCTTGCAACCCAAACTGCAGCAAGCACCGCTCACGTTGCAGTCCGTGATCCATTGCCATGGCAGGCACACCGCCGAGGACCTTGCATCGTTGGTGCTGCAGCTTGCGCGGGCGGGTATGTCAGTGCACGTGCCCGCTGCGCTGTCGTTCTTCGTTCCGCACGCGTCCGCCGCACAGGAGGCCGTCATCATTGAGCTGCAGCGGCTGGAGGAGGCGGCCCAACAGCATCAGCAACGACAGCAGCAGCAGCAACAGCAACAGGAGGAGCAACAACGGCAGCACCAAGCGCGGGTCGCGGCGGAGACGAGTTTTTCTCACGTTGCGCCACCTGTGGGCACACCGGAGCGCGGTGGTTCACGCACGAGCATCACGTCTGCGTCAACCGACGTGTCCATGGAAGGGGATGGTACGCCACGCAAGTCATCGCTTCGCTCTCGAATGAAAAACTTCAAGAAGAAGCTCACGCCGCGCAAGGTAGCAGCACGGCAGCCATGCAGCTTGCAGCTTGTTGTTGTGATTCATGGCTGTGTGCTTATGTGTGTGTATGTCGCGCAACGTGCACGCTTGTTTCGCTCATGCATGTGTGCGTGTGTGTGCTTCATTGAGTGGTTGACACGTACCTTGTTCTTTGCTCTGTGGGCAGCACGTTGGTGTTTGTTAGGCTACATGATGAGGTAATCTGACATCCGTAACATGATGCTGTGCTATTTTGTTGTCGACTTCAGAGCAAGGAATTGCGGGAAGCGACAGAAGTGAAGCGAACGCTTCGCATTGCTCAGTTCTCCCCACCCGATCCAAAGGTACCACAAGCAGCGGGCTTTCAAAATGCCACACCGCGACCTCCTCGTGTTTGGGCGGTGGGGCGTGTTAGTGTGTGAGCACTGTGAGCGCAACCATTTTGCGGTGGTGCCATCCCCCCATCTCCAGGCAAACAAACACGCAATACTGCTCACCAGGCTTGCAATGGAACTCACCACCAACATCACACTCCCATCTCTTGTGTGTGTGTGTATTTGTCAGGTGCTCAGCAGTTCCTTCAAGCGGGGCGGGGATGTGCTTGAACTGTCTGGCAGATCGCACTACCTCACATTCCTCAATGGTGTCTATCGCGAAGTTGAGCGCTCCCACCGCGGTAACCCCGTCTATAAGCTCATGTACGCGCAGCATGTGTTGTATGTGCGTCAAGTGTGAGTGTGTGTGTGTGTGTGTGATGCGTGTCATGTGTGAAAATGTGTGTGTGTGCTTGTGGCTTGCAATTGGCATTTGTTTGTCATTGTGATGTTGTGCGCCAGCAACGTAACACCAACATCGCGGTGCTGATCACGGCTTCTCTCACATCTATCCCGCGTTTTGCACCTGTCCGCTCACCCCACCCCCACATCTTTGCGTTCCGAACTCCCTCCCTCCCCCCCCCTCTCTCAAATAGGGCGCCAATTGATGCCCCACACACGCATCTGCACGGCGAGTATGTGTTTCTGTTCATGGACATTGACGACAAGGCGTGGGTGTTCTTCCTTCCAAACGCTGGCCCGGTCGCTTGCTGCGCGGCCATCTCAGGTACGCGCAAGTGTGTGTGTGTGTGTAAGTGTGTGTGTAAGTGTGTGTGTGTGTATGTGTGTGTATGTGTGCGTTGAGTAACGGGTGGCTATGAATGAAAGCGTGGCCGTGCTGAGTGAAGGAGAGAGAGAGAGTGTGTGTGTGTGGCTGTGTTGTAATGCTGTTCAAAGTCATGGCTTGTCGTTTTGCATTCACCCTTGCCTCTCACTCGCCATCTTCCCCTTGTTCCTCCTAATCCTACACCCCACACGTCTCCGCTTGTTTGTTCCATTCGTCAACTTGTGTGCGCAACAGCGGATCCCGTTGAGACGGACGGCGAGTGGATGATTGTCAACACGCGGAACGAGCTCGTCCCAGATGCAGCCGTGCACATCTCACGACTCGCAGGTCACCATCATGACCATGGCATTCGAGGCGGCGCTGGCAATTGCACTCTTGCTTGATAGCGATGGTAGTGATGCTGGTGGTGAACAGTGAGTTATCTGCTCTTTGCACGCTGTCCTCACGAGTATGTATTGTGTGGGATGTATGTGTATGTGCATGTGCATGTGTATGTGTATGTGTATGTGTATGTGTATGTGTATGTGTATGTGTATGTGTATGTGTATGTGTATGTGTATGTGTATGTGCATGTGCATGTGTATGTGTATGTGTATGTGTATGTGTGCGTGTGCGTGGTGCAGGTGTGCCTGAGCGTCGCCATCCAAGCCGGGAAGCAGAGAGCGCAGAGCTCATGAGTTTGCGGGAGGAAGTACAGACGCTTCGGTGAGAGACTGAGACGAGACAAAGTGGTTCCGAACGCCATTTATCGTGT